CCAAGGATGGCCAGCATTCATATGCAGCTTTGCTACTTCCTACCTTCCTAAGTTCTTCCCCAACTTATGCCTCCTCTTCTGTAAAATGGGCATGATAACCCATATTTCACAGAGTTGTTAGAATTAAATAAGATTGTGTGTATGAAATACTTAGTACTCAATAAGTCTCAGCTAATATGTGCTTATTTATTTGGATTAGTTGAATTGCTTGTAGTAAAAATGTTATGGGCTGAATGTTTGTGCCCCCCTGTCTCACCCAACCAAATTCATTATGTTGAAACCCTGACCCCTATAATGCTATGGTTTTTGAGATGGGGCCTTTGGGAGGTGATTAGGATCAGATGAGGTCCTGAGGGTGAAATCTTCATGATGGGATTAGTGCCCTTATAAGATGAGATGCCAAAGAGCTTGCTGTACCCCTCCCTGCTGGACACATAGCAATAAGGCAGCCATCTGCAAGCCAGGAAGAGAGCCGCACCAGAACCGAAACTTGCTGGCGCCTAATCTTGGACTTCTAGCCTCCAGTACTGTGGGAAGTTTCTGTTGTTTAAGCTACATAGTTTATGGTATTGTGCTAATGGCAGCTCAAGCTGACTAATGCAAAGGTAATCTATGTCAATTTTTGTGTAAATATCTTAGATAAATTATGAATAAAAACATTGTTGAATTCCCCGTGTTTTTCAAGAAGGTATAACTATCATTGTTGGGGGATAGTGGGAGCAGATCATGTACCTTATTTCAAAGATTGTTGAAATCTAAGAAATTGAGAATAACCACAACCACAGAATGTTTATCATTATTTCTGCACTTTTTTTAAAAGCAACTCTGAAATTGGGATGTGACTTCTAATAGGTGAGGTCTTAGATTACATCTGTGGTTTTCAATCCTAGCTGCATATTCAAATCACCTGGGGAGATTTTAACAAATATTGTTATCTCGATCCTACCCTCAGATGTTCTATTTAATTGGTTTGAGGTGGGGCCCAGGAATGAATCAGACAGGCCTAAGGAATAGGTAATTAAATTAATTAATTAGCTTGTTTGAGACAGAGTCTCACTCTGTCACCCAGCCTGGAGTGCAGTGGTGTGATCTCACCTCCCAGGTTCAAGTGATTCTCCTGCCTCAGCTTCCCGAGTAGCTGGGATTAAAGGCGCCTGCCACCATGCCTGGCTAATTTTTGTATTTTTAGTAGAGACGGGGTTTTGCCATGTCGGCCACACTGGTCTCAAACTCCTGACCTCAGGTGATCCACCCATGTACACCTCCCAAAGTGCTGGGATTACAGATGTGAGCCACTGCATCAACAGGAATAGGTAATTTTAAAGTAATTTTTAAAACCCTCTGCAGGCGAAGGTAAATGTATAGCCAGGGCCAAAAATATTAAATTAGATAAAATATGTTTACTCTGGGTTGAGGCTTCTTGTGAGGTTTATTAAAAAGTAGATCATAGGGAGAAAGATATCCCCTCAATGCTCATGATAGCAAGCTATCCCTGGTTAACTCAACACATGTGTTAGCTAGCTTCTCTGCTAGTTCACTGATAGACAAGGGTTAAAAGCAGTTGTGTCAGCCACCAGAATAGCTATGGATTAAAGCTAAGAAGAGCAGAAGGAATACAACGCTATGCAACAGAGAGCTGGAATACCATCAGGGAGCTTGTGGCTTCTCCTCACTTGATTTCAATAGGACCAGGTCTCTGGAGCAAAATACTAGAGGTGCTGAGAAACTGGTGGAATTCTACACTGTGTATCTCATCAGGGGATGAACCCTTAGCAAAGAGCCAGAGGTTCAAGTATTTTAAAAGGGGATTTTTTAAAATTTTATTTTGTGGAGTCTGCTGGTTGATTACAGAAATGACAATCAGGTGAGTATATTTCTGACTAAAGTCAGCGTTGTCTTGTCATGAAATTCATGTAATGAAATTGAGCATGTTTCTGCTTAGGTACGTATTTTGCATCTCACCCTTTATGTTCTCATTCATGATGATGAAGTCACCTTTCAGAGACACCAGACACATAAATTCGTTTGATGACAGTGGTTACTCTTCACTCCGTTGGGCTGTGAATTGTACAGATATTGTGAAAGTAGAACATGTGGTTACATTCAGGTATCTCCTTTCTCCAGCCCCTGCGACCCCACCCTGAACAGCAAAACCAAGAGCGTAACACTTGGTCTAGTTTGACTAGTTCCTCCATGCTTTTTATTTTTCCCTTTTGCTGCAGGCTAATCTTCAATCAGCAGGTGCCTCCCCATAAGAAGTGGAACTGTTGTGTATAACCTGCATTGAATTCCTTAGGTCTGTCTGACTCTAAACCAGTTTGGTTCTGACAGTGAGAGGTAAACTCTGCCCAGGTAAACTTGATCCAGTTTGTTTCCGTATTGCCTGAAAAGACCAAATCACTGCATTATTTAAATTCATGCCCTAAGATCCTGAAAGCAGAGTCTCAAAACTGCTAGAAAGCCTAGCCTTTTAAAAATGTACATGCAAGACTACTCAGACCTAATTAAGTTAGAGCAAGCTCACAATGGTAAACAAAGCCTCATTTCATTCTGACCTTAAGAATTTATTTTCTTTTTCTTCTACGTCTTGCCCATTCTAACCCAGCTTTACAGTTCCATGGGTTAAGGAGAGGAGAGATTTCTTTTATTGAAAACTCTTGGTAATATGATGAAACATCAGCAATGAAAACAAAGGCAAAAGCAAATGGAAAAATAGAGAGGCCTTCTGAGCTGAAGGGCTGAAGCCGCCATTGCAGAATATCGCTGGGAGGATTGTTGTGGTGAGAGATGTCTGACCTAACTGACTCCATCTTGTTTCCAACCTCCAAGCTGCCTTTGTTCTATTTTGGGCATAGGCCAAATTAACTTTGGGAGGAACTTACAGTTTAGCTTTGAAACACAAACATTAACAGCCCTTTACCAAAACAAACCCCTTCTTGCCTGTGGACTAGACTGCCTTTGCAGGACTAACAAATTCACCACAAAATTATAAATTATGGCTTAAAAGTCATGCAGCCAGATGCTACAAAATTCTGACTCTCCCCAAATTGCTCCTGGAGATAACATCACTATTATAAAACCTAAGATTAGTGCTTGAGATATTTCATATAATCTACACCTGATGGATCAGCTGGCACCACCCAGATAGATAAACCAGCTTATCAGGTCTTGTGGCCCCCACCCAGGAACCAACTCGGCACAAGACAGCTTCTACTCCCTATGATTTCATCCCCAACCCAGCCAATCAACACTCCTAACTCACTGCCCCCTACCCACCAAATTTTCCTTAAAAACGCTGATTCCCGAGTGCTCCGGGAGACTGATTTAAGTAATAATGAAACTCCTATCTCCCATACTGGCCAGCTCCGCATGAATAACTCTCCATTGCAATTTCCCTGTCTTGATAAATTGGCTCTGTCTAGCCAGCAGGGCAAGGTTGAATGCATTGAGCAGTTACAAGGCTATTTTGCCCATTCCTGAAACAATATGTTACCAGCCTTGAACAATGGGACATACTTGAGTTTATTTTCTGGATGTTGGCAAAGCACAGTTAACTCAGGGAGGAGCCATATGTCATTACCCAGAATCCATTCTATAGGTAATCTAGAGGTTTTTTTCTTTTTCTTTTTCTTTTTTCTTTTTTTTTTTTTTTGAGATGGAGTCTCGGTCTGTCACCCAGGCTAGAGTGCAATGGCACAATCTTGGCTCACTGCAACCTCTGCCTCCCAGATTCAAGCAATTCTCCTTCCTCAGCCTCCCGAGTAGCAGGGATTACAGGCATGCACCACCACGCCTAGCTAATTTTTGTATTTTTAGTAGAGACGGGGTTTCATCATGTTGGCCAGGCTGGTCTGGAACTCCTGACCTCAGGTGATCCACCTGCCTCTGCCTCCCAAAGTGCTGAGATTACAGGTGTAAGCCACCGGGCCTCGCCTCTTTTGCTTGTTTTTTTAAAGGCAGGATCTTGCCCTGTCATCCAGACTGGAGTGCAGTGGTGTGATTGTAGCTCACTGCAGCCTACAACTCCTGGACTGAAGGGAATCTACTTCTGCCTCCTAAGTAGCTGGAACTACAAGCACATGCCACCACACTTGGCTAATGTTTTTTAAATTTTTTGTAGAGACAGGGTCTAGTTTTATGGCCCAGGCCTGTCTCAAACTCCTGGCCTTTAACAATCCTCCCACCTTGGTCTCCCAAAGTGCTGGGATTATAGGTTTGAGCCACTGTACCCAGCCCCTAGATAGTTTTTCAAATTTTGTGAGGGTGTTGTTCTCAAACAGGAATTCAAACCAAAACAGAAAATCTATGACGTGATGTGGCTAATCCATGAAGCAAAGGTATAGTTCCATAGAGCTAGAAGAAAACTTGTTGAGGGTTTATAAAGCATGGTACCAAATATATTTATACTAATTACTATTCTGAGGGGAGATTTTATTATTGACTGCTTTAAGCTTTTGTTCAATTTGAAGGATAAGAGTTTTTGTTCAGGTGCTTTTGTTCAAGCTGTTACATGGGAGATGGTCTTGCAGAGAGCCTTCTAAAAACAAATTTCAAGGGAAATGAAATAGTAATATTAACATCAGTGCCGTTTTTTTTTTTTTTTCTTTGAAACCCTGAAACATTTTTATTTTTTGAGACAGAGTCTCACTCTGTTGCCCAGGCTGGAGTGCAGTGGTATGATCTCAGCTCACTGCAACCTCTGCCTCCCAGGCTCAAGCAATTCTCCTGCCTCAGCCTCCCAAGTAGCTGGGCTTACAGGCACACGCCACCACACCCAGCTAATTTTTTATATTTTTGGTAGGGACAGGGTTTCACCATGTTGGCCAGGCTTGTCGTGAATTCCTGACCTCAAGTGATCTGCCTGCCTTGGCCTCCCAAAGTGCTGGGATTATAGGCATGAGCCACTGGGCCTGGCCTGAAACTTTGTTTTTAATCTCAAAACAACATGGGAATATTTTTGCCATTACATATGCTTAACTTTTATAAACTAAAAACAAAGAATCATTAAATCACATTTTATTGCAAATGAAAAATATACAAACATTTAAGATTTATACAGTTTCTAAAATGAACAGCATAAACACGTGCAAAATAAAAGGCTTCATGAACAGTTTATTCAAAATATTTGAGAAGATTTCATATATTCATATATTTTCCACAAAGCTTCATTGGAAGGGGAAAACAGCATTTAGCTCAGTTTTTCTGGTTTTAAGAACAATATTTGGAATAATTTTATATTGGTGTTGAGATAGTATGATGAATTCACTTCCACTTGCATTATTTAAAATGAGATAACTTGAAAAATTGAGAAAAGATGAATGTATAAAAATAGGCATTCAATGATCCTTAGGTCTCTAGTGGCAAGACTGTAAAAATTCAAATGTTGACTCAAAGAAAACTAAATTTTACCAAGTCCCTATAATCAGGCATAATGCCAGGTGCTTTCCATGTATTTAATACTTTAAAATATGTGTTAATTTCATTTGTTAAATCTAAAGGGTCTTATGAAAATTATGCAATCTGAACTTATAATAAATAACCATTGACCTAAGAATAAAATTGTAAGACAAAAATAAGACGTATCTTTACAGAAGTAGGAAAATCTTTCCATTTGTCCTGTGTGAGCACAGCTTTGTAATCCTTAATGACACACATGCAGATATTCACACAATAAATCTTAAGATATCTACATGATGACAAAGTATTAAAATATATACATAAACTACCAGTTAAGACTAATAGTCTGACTATAGGGGTCCAGCATTTTATTCTTCCTTAGTCAATATTTTCATATTTGGGAAAATATTTTTTAGTGTTAGATTTGCAATAACATTTTGGTTTTTTAATGCATGTGCTCATCAGTGACTTTTATGTAGACAGTTTTCAAATTTTTCATTGTTTCTCTGCATACTTCAATCATTAAATCTTTCCCAGTCATCATGCTGGGCATGCATTCACATCAACACCAGTTCATTTTCCCATCTAACGTACACATTGAGCCTTGTGTCTGGGAACCTTTGACCTGGTCATAACGTACCAAGGGCAAACACTTTGTAAAAGGTGACACAAAGAAATGTCTGAAACTTTAATTTACCAGAACAGAGAACCACCAGAGTCTCAGGTTGGATGTCACGAAAAATGCCATTAATTTCCTCGCCAAGAAGGTGTCCTAGAGAGATCAATAAAGTTCTTAATACTAAAAGAAAAAAAATTTTAATTTCTGCAATTTTCAAATGCAACCTTATCAGAAGATACTTTTTTGGGTCAGGGTCTCTTGTCACCCAGGCTGGAATACAGTGGGACAATCATAGCTTACTGCAGTCTTGAAACTCCTGGGCTCCAATGATCCTCCTGACTCAGCTTCTTGATATTTTTTACATTTTTAAGAGAGATGGGGTATAGCTTTATTGCCCAGACTGGTCTCAAACTCCTGGAGACTAGCAATCCCCCTACCTCAGCCTCCCAAAGTGTTGGAATTACAGGCATGAGCCACTGCCCAGCCAGAAGATACTTCTCCTACAAACTTGTGTTCATAGCTTATATATCTGATATACAAGTAAAGTGAAACAGCAATCAACAGAGTAAACACGTATTTGACCTGAGGTATCAACCTATGGACGTTCCATGGATTATCGATTTTCAAAAATTTAGAATGTGTTAGAATTGCACTCAACACTAAACTATGCTGAAAAGACTATAATGGCACATTAGGACCTTGCAGCCATGTCAGGTAGGTTGTCATCCTGATCAGTCATAGTTTAATAGACCTGGGGAAATGCTGATTGAATTCTGAATAATAAAGCTTACCATTATGACCTTGGGCAGTCTTGAGCTAGCTTAGAAACAAAAACCAAACCTAATAACATTTAAGGTTAGAGCAGAAAAAAATTCAGTCAACCTGATTTTTTTTTAATGATAATCTTTTTGGTTAGAATTCCTGAGAAAAATAAGACAGCCAATTTTTTTTCGATAAAATCAATAAGTGACAGTAAATCTGTCCATTACATTAAAGACCACCAAAAATGTTATTCCTTCCATGCATTTGAAATGAGAGAGAAAAATTTTATAAACATTTTAATGTGCAAAAGGTATTTTCCTGCAGTAGCCCCTGAGGTCTTGGTATTTTGCTTGCTAGGAAGTTGACTTTCTATCCTATTAGAATATACCTATTTTTAACAGTTAGTAACTAATCATAATTTCCTTTATAAGGGTGGAAGTACCAAGCTTCAAGAGAGCCATTATGATAATTTGTTCAGATTTTTCACAAAGATTTTTCTAGTTGTTTCCAAACAGTCTGTGGAAAACTCACCCTTTAGGGATCAAACATTTGTGAACAATTGAAGTGTAGGATATAATCCTAAAATAATGTAGCAATCTTTTACAAAAATCACTATATCAACAAGAAAAAATAACCTTTAGGATAATAGTAAAAGAAAGGAAAAAAAATGAACATAAGTGACTCCAAAGCTGAATTCACCTGACTTCCACAGAAACTCCATTTTGTCTTATGTCTTCCAGACTTGAGTTAATTAATGGAACCCGTGAAAACAATCACATGTGCCTGTGTTTTTGTGAGAAGAAAACTGTTTCCTTTATCTGAGGTCTGAAGTATTTTTCTTTTCCTCCGTTCTCTCTCTTTAATTGGTAGTAAATTCCTATGATATGTCAATTAGTTACAATTCATACCCTCTTCATGGGTGTGTGTGTGTTGTGTATTCTAGCCGACTAATGAAGCAGGCTTTTTTTTTTAAATTTCTTTTTTCTTAAAATAACTGTTTAGCTATCTAGTTTTAGAAGAAGGAAGGTGCAGAAGGGAGAAAAAAGCACCCGTGATCTCACTTCTCAGTTTAAACAAATTTTTTAAAAGCAAAAGCCCCTGGCCCTTTTTCTTCTTATTCTTCTTTGAGACAGGGCCTTACTTTTCACCCAGGCTGGACTGCAGTGGTGTAATCTGGGCTCACGGCAGCCCCAACGTCTCAGACTTAAGTGATCCTCCCACCTCAGGCTCCCAAGTGGTCGGGACTACAGGCATGCGGCACCATGCCTGGCTAATTTTTATGTTTTTTGTAGAGACAGGATCTTGCCTTGTTGCCCAGGGTGGTCTTGAACTCCTGAGCTCAAGTGATCTGCCTGCCTCAGCCTCCCAAAGTGCTAGGATTACAGATGTGAACCACCGTACCTGGCCTCTCTTCTCAGTTTTAATAATTTGAAGTTATGACTCAACAGAGAATATGGCTGATACTGCATGTATCAGAACACTGCTAATTTTATATTAGTGAATGACTGGGAGTCTAAAAAGAGCCACCTGGCAGAGACAAATATATTGTGACCAGAAGAAGGAGACACACATAGCTCTTTAACTTCTTTGATCCTTAGGAATAATTTCAAAGTTTGTAGAAATGAAAAGCAGCAGAAGTCTTCTGGAGGATAATCAATCTGATTTTCAAATTCATGGCCAAAAAAGATGACATTTTTACTTGGCCTCACATCTAAATTAGTTAGAACTGTAAAAATCCTAGCTTTCCTAGCAGTTCTTCCAAGAAGCAAGCACTCATTTTCTTCTTCATGTGTCTCATAGGGGTTAAAACTCAATGTTTCTAGAGACTTCAGTCATCAGTTCTGCTAAACAGGGTAACATCATCATTGTATCCTGGGGCTGAACACTCCAGGTTCTCTAGTAAAACATAATTGTTTTCACTGACATTCAGAGAGATGACTTCCTTCTTAGCAGTAGATGTAAGCTCGCTCCAAGAAATGTCAGTGTTTTTAAAAGCATGGAGAAGGAAGATGCCAATGATAATAGTGAAGAATCCACTCAGGGTCCCAAGGATATCTCCAGCTGTCATGCCGTACCACTCTTGGAATAAGACAGCAGAGCAAGTCACCACCATGGATGTGAAGAATACATAATAAATGGGTGTCACGAGAGAGGTATTAAAGGTGTCCAGTGCCTTGTTGAGATAGTTAATCTGTGTAGTTACTGAAAGCACAAGTACAGCCAGCAAAACAAAGACCAGGGGATGTTTGTAAACTGGCTTCCATTCTATCAGCTCCTTAATGGCAATTCCCAGGCCTTTGACAGAAGAAACTGAAAACGCTCCAATCAAAGAACAGATTGAAATATAGATCAGTATATTGGTCTGTCCTTTCTTGGGAGCCACAATCAAAATCAGCACCAAGGAGATCACAGTTATGATCACAGCGAAAGAAATAAACCCTGTTAGGAAGATAAAATAATTTGACTTCAGAAAACGCTCATAGGATTATACCTTTCTGAAATCTTGTTAGTCATGAGTTTAAGAGCATAGGTATTTGAGAAATAGAAGTGAGATCAAATTTAAAACAACAGTCTATTGCATAGTTTTCAATATTTTACAAAGGACTTCCACAAATACGTAAATCTCACCAACACTATGAGCTAGGGCAGACATTATCAGATTAACTTTTTATTTTCAGAAGAAGAAAGTGGCAAGAAAGATTTGATTTTGAATACATGTCTTTTGCCTCTACCATCCCTCCCTCTCCCTTTGGTTGTGTAAAAGGGGAAGCATGAACACAAAAATAAGTTCTGCCGTCTTTTCAGGAGAAATAGTAATCAAACCTTACTGTGTCTCACAACCCACAACATGGCTTGTAGAAAGCTTATTGCAATATTGTTACAAATACTATTTGGTGAGGATAGAAAGTGAAGCAGAATTTGAGTGTTTCTTTAGGTTGAACCACAGACCTGGATCTCTCAATTTCATTTCCATTTCATGCAAAGAAGTGACTTCCTCTTCTTGTGGGGCATGGATAACCATCACAGTTGACCCCAATATACTTAATACACAGCCTATTTTCCCATGAATGTTCAAGTGCTCATTTAAAAAGTAGGAAGATAATATCGCACTGTTAGGAGAGAAAAAAATTAAAGATCACTCTAGTTCAATTACCTTTTGATCCCACGGCAACTCAGAAGTCATACTGGTGGTACAGGCCACCATGTATCCCAGTGAGCTGGCTGGAATATGCTATATGACATAGAAAAACCTAGATTGGTTTGAAACTCAACTGACAGGCAATCAAATGTGCTTCAATTTTTTTTATATCTAAAGAGCTATAAAATATATCCCCATAATTTTCCAATGACCTTACAAGTGGTTCTACTCAAGTCATTTTCAATTTTTCCATCTTTTCCTGTAAAGCCAAGCAAAACAGAAAATCTTTTATATCTTACTGGCATGATACATTTAGAATATGTATGCCCATGGATGTTTCAAAGGAAGATATATTCCTAAAGAAAAATTACTCTTCCCAGGGCATGTCCAATGTTTTGGCTTCCCTAGGCCACACATTAAATATACTAACACTGCCAGGTGCGGTGGCTCACGCCTGTAAGCCCAGCACTTTGGGAGGCTGAGGCAGGCAGATCACCTGAAGTCAGGAGTTCAAGGCCAGCCTGACCAACATGGAAAAACCCATCTCTACTAAAAATTGAAAAAAATAATAATAATCAGGCATGGTGGTGCATGCCTGTAATCTCGGCTACTCGGGAGGCTAAGGCAGGAGAATTGCTTGAACCCAGGAGGCAGAGGTTGAGAGGTTGCGGTGAGCCGAGAATGCGCCATTGCACTCCAGCCTGGGGAACAAGAGCGAAACTCCATCTCAAAAAGAAAAGAAAGAAAAAAAGAAAAAAAATATGCTAACACTAATGATAGATGATGAGCTAAAGAAAAAAAATCACACACAAAAATAATCTCACATTGTTTTAAGACAGTTTTACAAATTTATGTTGGGCCATGTTCAAAGTCACCCTGGATCACATGCAGCTGGTGGGCCGTAGGTTGGACAAGCTTGATATAGACTTTCAAAATATCAAAATACATCCTTACCACCTGCTACTGCTCTGATACTTAGACCTATCTGGTACTCCTAATGCTTCAGTTGCTGTGGCCTCAGGAAGCTCCAGAATCACACTGCCATGGACACCAGAGTATACCATCTTGTTGCTCCACCAGTGTGCTTACTGTGACTTCTGCGCACCAGCCTTCTTCCTCTAATGCCCTGGCATCCCCATGAAGGCAATTAAGTGCCCATCTGTCCCCAAGATTATGATCAATTACCAGGTACTTTCCTAGCGTTGCCCTCATGTGGCCACTTGTAGGACTGCAGCCTTAGTGAAGACACGACCATTACTACTACTGATACTAGCTCTTCACTGCATAGCTAAGTGTTCTAAGGGCTTTATTCACTCACTTAATTCTCACAACAATCCTATAAAGAAGGTAAAAAGAATTCAGTAGGCTCAATAATAAGTTTTCTACAAGAGGTGGATAATGAATAGAAAAGAAAAAGACAAGAGAACAGGCAAAAATGTATATGCTTATTAAACACATTCATTTGGGATCATAATAAAGATAAACTCAGAAGGATTAGATCCACATTCCATGAAATAAGAAAGTTATTTCTGTTTCCAGTACTAAAACTAAGTATCCAGCAAACAATGCAAGAATTTTAGTGAGAGTTGGAATTTAACGAAAACACTGTGCGTTTAAAAGTCCTCTGAAAACTATGGTCATTAACCACTATGGACTCTGGCAATTTGTTCTGATGACAGATTTAAAAAACCTGCTATGCTTCACTGCATTGTTAAAAATGTAGCACACATTTATGTTAGCAGGAAATCAAACTCACTGTGTCTTGGGTTTTTTAAATAATATGACAGTTGATGTCCTATTTCTACTGTTATTTATTTTATAGTCTTCTCAAGTTATTTTTGTGATTTCAGGCAAGAAAAAGTATTATTCTCACTTTATGAATGAGTAAACTGAGGCTAAGTGACTTGTCCAAAGCTTCCCAGGAATGTCAGAAATGATTTGGGTTCATCTAGACTTTTAGAGCCCAGGTTGGTATAGATTTGCATGTTGGCTTTCACATATCCATAGTCGTATGTTTCTTATGGTTTAAGTTTATCTTGGTCTTAAAATAACGTCTAGAAGCCAAGTTCCTTATCGCTCACATACCTTATGAGAACACTCAGAGCACCCAGGGGGGTGACCAAGGTGGCAGGTGCAAAAGCATAAGCTGCAAAATTCACAGCCTCTCCTGTTCCCACTAGAAAGCAAGCAGAGATACTGATATTAAAAATGGGCTCACATCTCAGAAGAGAAAAACAAATGTCTCATGCAAAGCAGTGGACTTGTAAGCCAAATACATGGGAAGATCTAGCAAAAAAGAATGATGTAACTTGTTTTATAGCAAGTAGGGATAATTGCTATTAAGAGATGCAGACAAACTGTAATACCAGGTGATACAAACTCATTAGATGAAAAAAGCGGTGACAGATGAGTACCCATTTTAAATGGCTTTCAACAGAGGTTTTTAGCTACTTCAATACTGAAGACATATTTGGTGACTCTGATGAAATCTAGTAGAGGTAGCTGTGTAGTATGCAGAGAATCATTTCACTTGCTCAAGAATACCTACAGTTTTGTAGGTTACCCACAACCACCAAAACCGGCTTGGAAATAGAATGCTTTAATCTGGTGTGTAGGTAGGGAATAGCCATAGGCCCATAAAGTTAGATATCCCTCTAGTGTAAATGGTCTACAAGCAAGTAACAGTATCTCAGTAGCTTAAGGAGATCCAGGCAGCTGTTTTAAAGTCATGATATGCTCCTGAATGTAATCTTTTTCTCATCAGAGGAACTCTAGACTTGCATGAGATAGCACGCTGTAAATAACTTCTAGAATGAGAGAAATCCCTTCAAGAGCTGGGCTCTTGTACCAAGGCCAAGTTATTCTCACAGAACACAGCTGGAAACTTGCCCACAGAATGTGGTATTTCCTGCTGGCAACTATACTAGCAAATGCTTGTTGGAGACAGAGAAAAGAACACCAGCATGATTTTTTCTTTGTACCTTTGCCTGGCTGCTATGCTACATCCCCCCAAATCTATAGGAGTACCCAGCATTAGGAAAACATCATTAAGCAAATCTAAACTTACAGAATAATTAAGACATTGCTCTCATAGAAAGAACCATGGCGAGGCCGGGTGCAGTGGGTCATGCCTGTAATCCCAGCACTTTGGGAGGCAGAGGGGGTGGATCACTTGAGGTCAAGAGTTCAAGACCAGCCTGGTGAAACCCCATCTCTACTAAAAATACAAAAATTAGCCAGGCATGGTGGCAAGCACCTTTAATCCCAGCTACTTGGGAGGCTGAGGCAGGAGAATCTCTTGAATCCAGGAGGTGGAGGTTGCAGTGAGACGAGATCATGCCACTGTACTCCAGGCTGGGTGACAAAAGCAAGACTACTTCTCAAAAAAGAATGAACCATGGCAGTTTTCTTGGAATATTAAGGTTTCCTTGGGTACTTTACATTATTTATATTTTTATCTTTATAGATAGCTTTCCAGGAAAACATTGACTTCATGATTAAAGTACTGTATATATGTCACTTACCTACTCTCTAATGTATGCTTTTCTGTCTTCAATACTGACATAAACATTTTTACACGGTGAAAATAAAATTGCAAATGTAGTCATATAATATTCTACTTATATTTTCATTGTAAAGTGTGGGTAGAAGGTGGGGAGATGCAAGTAGGAGAGAAAAAGAGAATGATCCAAATAGCTATCTGGAATCTTCCCAGGCAGCCCTTATCAATTTTTATTCAAAGAAAAATGTATGTAAAAGCACCCTAAAAACTGAAGGGGCAGTTGGACGTGGTGGCTCATGCCTGTAATCACGGCACTTTGGAAGGCTGAGGTGGGCAGATTACCTGAGGTCAGGTGTTCAAGATCAGCCTGGCCGACATGGTGAAACCCCATCTCTACTAAAAATACAAAAATTAGGCAGATGTGGTGGTGTGTGCCTGTAATCCCAGGTACTCTGGAGGCTGAGGCAGGAGAATAACTTGAACCTGGGAGATGGAGGTTACAGTGAGCCAAGATTGAGCCATTGCACTCCAGCCTGGGTCACAGAGCAAGACTCCATCTCAAAAACAAAAAAACAAAACAAAACAAACAAAAAACAGCTGAAGGGGCTATACATACTTAAATTATTTGTATTAATCATCCTTTTAGATTCCACCATTTACTAAAGAAAAGGTACCCAGTTCCTTCCCATAACAGGATCTTACAAATACTGAAATGTGTTGCTTGGTTTGGGGAAATTCAGGGAAGCTTTAAGACTCCTGGCCACAGAGGGAATTTATGATGCCCTTTTGGGGGAAAGCTTTTGATTTGGGATTTAAGAAAGTTCATACGACTTAGGAGGGAGACCGAGTCAGCAAAAGTAGCTGAGGGAGATGAACACTATCTTCTATTTGGACATCACATTAGCATTTAGACAGTGCTTTCAGATCCTGTAAAATCTCATTTAATCTTTACAGCAGGTCCGGGAGGAAAGACAGTGCTGACACCCCTCATTTCCTCTCCATTTGTTCAGTACCAAGCAGCCACAGAGGCCTTTCACTTATTTGTTGTGTTGTCCTGGCAAGGAAAATGTACTCGTTCTTGAGAAAATATGTGGCTACAATAATCACAGGTTCAAATTAGGAGGTGGGAAAATATGAAAGAAAAGCACTTTCTCTGTTGTTATGGTGAAGAAAAGACAAGATGTCTGTGGTTAAAATATAATATTTCAAAGGTCAACTTTTTCCCTTGCATTCCAGGACAGTACTGAGAACACAGGGAGTGGGAAATAAGAGTAAAAATTAATTAATTTATATATATTAGTATATATAGGACAATATATTACACCAACACAAAAATTTTTAGGCTTAAATTCCATCCTTGTTTCATTCTTGACAGGAAGATTAACCGATTTTGAAAAATTTCATGTAATCTATTTACTATCTTGCACATAAACAGTATTCGCAGTGTTAAAAACTTACTTGACAGCAATCCTGCCCACCAGAGCCATTCCTTGAGGTAAGAATGTCCACCTTGTCCTAAAATGCAAAAAATAAAAATGAACAAAAATTGGGTTCTACTCTGGAGGAAGGTTTGAAGAATTGACTTCTAGAAAATGTACTGGATTATGGTTAGAAAAGTTAAGTCAGTAAATCTAAAGTCTTTCAGCTTATTTACTTGGTCATTTGCAAACCTTTTTTTCTCTCAATTTACAATGATTTATTTAACAAATCCCCTAACTGTTTAATTGCATTTAGATTTTTTTCCATGTTTCTCTTACAAATACAACGCTCTCACGAGTCTCCCGGCACATACATCTTTGCAACACGGAAGTGATTATTTCTCCAGGATAAATTCCTAGACGTATAATTGTTGGGTAGGAGAAAATGTGTTTTTTAAAGAGCTTTACATATATTACCAAATTGCCCTCCAGGAAAGTTATGTCAATTTTTTTAAAAAAACTGCAAATCTGATAGTCTTAAAGTGATATGTCATTTCAATCTGCATTTTTCTATGTTTGTTGCCCATTTTATTTCTTCTTTTATGAATCAGAAGTTCATTTTTAATTTGGGTTTTTTTCTCCTGATTTTAAGAATAGATTTAGGGGTCCAAGTGCAGTTGTGTTACATGAATCTACTGTAAAGTCTGGGCTTTAGTGTGTAACTATCACCTGAATAGTGAACAGTGTACTCAATAGGTAGTATTTCATCCCTCACCTGTTTCCGCCCTTTTACCCTCCCACCTTTTGGAATCTCCAGTGTCCATTATTCTACTTTGAATGTCCACATGTACCCACTGTTTGGCTCCCACTTATAAGTGAAACATGCAGTTTTTAGATTTCTGTTTCTGAGTCACTGCTCTTAGGATATGGCTGCCAATTCTGTCCATGTTGCTGCAAAGGACATGTTTTCATTTTTCTAACAGCTAAGTAGTATTCTATGGTGTGTGTCTATAATTATACCACATTTTCTCTATCCAGTCCTCTGCTGATGGGCACTTAGGTTGATTTCATGACACTTTTGTGAATAGTGGTGTGATAAACATATGAGTGTAGTGTCTTTTTGATAAATGATTTCTTTTCCTTAGATACCCAGGAGTGGGACTGCTGCATTGAAGGGTAGTTCTATTTTTAGTTCTCTGAGAGATCTCCGTATTGTTTTCCATAGTGGTTGTACTAATTTACATCCCCATCAACAGAGTATAAGCATTCCCTTTTCTCTGCATTCTTGCCAACATCTGTTGTTGTTTGACTTTTAATAATAGCTATTCTGACTGGTATAAGATGGTATCTCATTGTGGTTTCAATTTACATTTCTCTGGTGATTAGTGACACTGAATATTTTTAAAATATATTTGTTGGTTAATTGCATGTCTTCTTTTGAAAAATGTCTGTTCATATACTTCACCCACTTTTTCATGGGGTTTTTTTTTTTGTAGAGTTGTCTGAATTTCTTGTAGATTCTGGATATTAGACCTTTGTCAGATGCTTAGCTTGCAAATAATTTTTCCCATTCTGCAGGCTAGCTTTTTACCCTGTTGATTATTTTTCTTGCTCTGCAGAAGCTTTTTAGTTTAATCAAGTCACATTTGTCTATTTTTGTTTTTGTTGCATTTCCTTTTGAGGACTTAAGTCATAAATTCCTTGCCTAGGCCAATGTCCAGAAAGAGTTTTTCCTAGATTTTCTTCTAGGGTTTTTATAGTTTCAGGCTTTACATTTAAGTCTTTAATTAGTCTTACGTAGATATTTGTGTATGGTCAGAGATAAGGTCCAGTTTCATTCTTCTACATATGGTTCTACAATTTTCCTTGCACCATTTATTGAATAGGGTAGGCTTTCCCTAGTGTATGTTATTTTCAACTTTGTCAAAGATCAGCTGGTTGTAGGTCTGTGGCTTTATTTCTGGGTTCTCTATTCTGTTCCACTGATCTATGTGTATATTTTATACCAGAACCATGCTGTTTTGGTTATGATAGCTTTGTAGTATAATTTGAAGATACTGTGATACCTCCAGCTTTGTCCTTTTTAATTAGGATTGCTTAAAACTTTCTATATTATGTTGCCATGTCACCTTTGTTTTTCCACAAAAGGTATGTTTTTCTTAATTTGTAGGAAATTGTATTTAATCATCAGTCAGAGGTGTGGACATAAATACTTCATTTTCGCTATGGTTAAAATTATAAACGGAAAATATAAATAGTAAATTACATTGGCACTAATGAGGACTCTAAAGGGAAGAAGATGGTTGACATAAGAGCTTTTGAGATTTTGGATTAGTCAATGAAAGAATAACAAGCATCAGGCAGATGCACTCTGCTGATTCTCTACCTTGGCATGCTGAAATCAAGTTTCTATCTAGTTTACTGAAAAAGACAAAATGCTTTTAAGCTATTCAAAAAGTTTTCTTCCTGATATTCTAATCTGTGACTTTATGTCATTAATATTTACTACAGAAAATGGAGTTTTCTTATCAATTTTAATATACTCAGCTCTCTGAATTTGACCTAAATGATTTTGTTATAAACAGGATATATAAGCTATGAAGATTATTTTGCAAAGTAGTTAGCTGTGCTTATTTAGGATTTTCACCTTAAGAAATTTGCAAATAACTAAGTTGGAATTCTGTTGCAACACTAGACCTGTCTAGTTTGTATCTCTTTGGGCAGTAGTGAAACAATATTTACTTATGCATATTTATTGGTGATTTGCATTTTTTATTTTGTTAGTTTCTCCTTTATAAGCTGTGTCTATTTTCTATTAGGGTACTAATCTTTTTCTTATTAACTGCAGTCACTTTTTATATATTATGAAACTTAACTATACTTTGTCACATATTTCATCATATTCCCCTCAATATATCATTTGCTTTTTAGTTTCAGTTAAAGTGTTTCCATATAGAATGTCTATCATTCTAGATACTTTCTTTCTTTATATAAAATAAATTCTTCCTTTATTTTTATGCTTAGAAAAACCTTCTTTTAAATTTTCTTTTAATAATTATTTCATTTTTAAATTAAACTCTAACCTATCTGGAATGTATTTTGCTGAATGGTATGAAGTAGAACTTCCATGTTTTTCTGCTCTAATTTTTCCCAATTGTCTCAATACTTTGAATGATTTGTCCTTTCTCCACAGGTTTGAAATGCCACTTTTTAGAATAACAAATAAAGTTGTTATATATACTTGGGTCTGCTTATAAGTTTTAAATTATCTTTGATTTTGTCTGCTTTAATGCCAGTATCAAATTGTTTTAATAGAGCACATAGTATGTTTTCTTTTCTGATAGTACAAATCTCATCTCATGGTACTCTTTTATAAACTTGCTTGTGTAATTGGTAGTCATTGATGTTTTTCCATATGGATGTTAGAAAAATACTTAGGTCTTACTCTGGTTTCTCTTCCAATCCCATAAATCTTTCGCCTTTTACTAAAGATTTCCATGAAGAAAAATACTTAGGTGTTTATTATAATTGAAGAAAATGAAAACTCATGGTTAATGAAGGGATAGTCAGGCAGACCTTCTCAGCATCTTAAGTGTCACTATAAATAGCAGCCCAATTCTATTGTTATCCATTTATTGATTTAATAAATGTCTATTAGGTGCCAAACACTGCTAGGGAAGGTTCCTGTTTTTGAGAATCTACTATCAATAAGCAAGTAAACCTATCAGCAACAATAAAGAATACATATACAACTAAAAATTATCCTAGGTATGGTGAGGGAAACTATTAGCGCAGTGACAGAGAATAACGGGGTGGGGTGGGGAGACCTACTGAGGATGGTCAAGGAAGGCCTTTCTGGGGTGATGCTACTCACACTGAAGTCTGAAGGATGAGTCAGCTGAATGAAGGGCAGGGAGAAGAGTTCCAGGCAATGCGAAAAGACCTTGGGATGGGAAAGAACCAGACCTATTCCAGGAACAAGAGAAAAGTAGGTGAGGAGGAGAAAAGCAGAAGAGGAAGTTGGAAAGGTGACAGAGATCAGAGACTGGAAGACAACTCCATCAAGACAGGGACTAAGATAAATGGAGGCAGTGAGTTATTATTACTGTAGCATTGTGGCCTTACAACAGGATGATTTCTGCAGTTAGAAACTTGAATTTACTAGTTGCATGTGTTTCTTACCAGCTCTAGTAACGCCCTTGCTGGCCAGTTGCAAGAGGCCCTTCTTTTTCAATATGAAGCTGGAGCCAATAAAAATACTGGAGCTTACTGCCAGTACCAAGCCCATATAAAGACTGTATTTGTTTTCTACGTTTGCTGAAATGCCCAAGTTGGTTATGCTGGAATTCAGTTCCGTGTAGAGCACAGGAGAAGCCAGCAGCTGTGACACATTCGTGATCTCACACCAAGCCTGGGAGGAGTTTGGACAGACCAGAGACAGCACATATCCTGGACAAAAGGAAAGAAGAAAATGTCAGGAATGAAAGGGAGAGGTATTAATGCTTGCTGGTTTTCTGCAGGGAACAGAGCCTTGAGTGGATGGTACTGAAACATTTTACTACATGCAGGGAAGTCCCTAACAGGTGGCCCACAGGCCTATAGACATTGTTAATTTGGCCAGCACCGGTTTTTAAAAATGATTTTAAAGTGTTTAGCTGTCATCGTTTAAAAATGAACAATTTCGCATGAAAGTCTGGATTCCTCCTATAAATTCGATCTGGCAAACCTTGTGTCTTTGTTCTGGTGAATCAGCAACTTGATGGAGCAGCGAATAACTGCTCTGACCTGATGGTGCTCAACGGTTCATCACAGCCCATCACATCCACTTCACTCTGCATTATCAGCCTGGCTACTGGAAAGCAGGGCTTGTGAGCCCTGAACATAGGGAGAAGGCATAGCAACCTCAGTCTGGGAATCACACTGCAAGAAATCTGTTGGCTGGGTGTAGTAGCTCACTCCTATAATCCCAGCATTTTGGGAGGCCAAGGCGAGATGATTGCTTGATTCTGGGAGTTTGAGAGCAGCCTGGGCAACAAGGTGAAACCCTGTCTCCATAAAAAAATTGAAAAATTAACTGGGTATGTTGGTGCACGTCTGCTGTCCCAGCTACTCAGGAGGCTGAGGTGGGAGGATTGGTTGAGCTCAGGAGAATGAGGCTGCAGTGAGCTGTGATTGCACCAGTGTACTCCAGCCTAGGTGACCGAGAAAGACCCTGTCTCAAAAAAGAAAAAAAGGAAAAAAAAATTGGCTGGGCATGTTATCTTATGCCTGTAATTCCAGCATTTTGGGAGGCCAAGGCAGATGGATCACTTGAGGACAGGAGTTCTAGACCAGCCTGTCCAACATGGTGAGACCCCACCTCTACTGAAAATACAAAAATTAACGGGGCACGGGCATGATGGTGTGCATCTGTAGTTCCAGCTACTATGGAGGCTGAAGCAGGAGAATCACTTGAACCTGGGAGGTGGTTGGAATGAACTGAGATCACACCACTGCACTCCAGCCTGGTTGAGAGAACGAGGCAGTGGTTAAAAAAAAAAAAAAGAAAAAAGAAATCTGTCTAACTCATTTGTAGGGTGTGAGTCATTTGGTGGGTGTGAAGAATTATATATTTGAGAAAACATGTTTTAAAAGTGGGTTTAGTTTTCTATACCACTTTCCCTGATTTTTCAGGTTTATTAATTCACATTCTCCTAAAGAAAATAGAATCTAATAAAAAAATGAATTAAATATCATTAGGCTTTTTAAAGGATAAGATTCAAAGCAGCATATAAATCCCCAGAACCAGATGCATTATTATAAACATCTTGGAATTTTGAGGCTAAACACTAAAACACAAAATGAAAATGTTTTACTATGTTATTAATGAAAACTATGTAAGAAACTTTATAATCAGATACAATTTTGGAATTCAATTTTTATAAAAGGTTTACATTTCAAAAATCTTAAGAAGGCATATAAGCAACAAAAGACAGTTTGATCAAATGATGTCTTAGTAACAAGACTTCCATAAGTGGACCTATGCACCTCTGGCAAAGCTTCATGCAGCCACCTGAATTTTACCACATTCAAAGTTAAGAAACACCCACGAAGTTCAGGTCTGGAAAATAATAAAATAACATAATTCACGGTTTTCATGAATTTTATTTCATTTATCTCTGTAATTTGAAAATGACCCAACTTTGTTTCAGAAATCCAGAATAGTTGGACATGGTGGTTCACCCCTGTAATCCTAGCACTTATGGAGGCAGAGGCTGGAGGATCGCTTGAGCACCAGAGTTTAAGACCAGCCTGTGCAATATAGTGAGACCTCCATAAAAAGGAAAAAACAAAGAAACAGAACTCCAGAATAAACTCAAAGTCAGAACAAAATATTCTAAGGACAATTATATTACTTCAGGGTATTCTATAATACTGGAGAATTTTCAGGCTGGCTGTTTTAATAAGAACTGTTGCAAATTTTCTTTTCTTTTTTTCTGAGACAGAGTCTCACTCTGTCACCCAGGCTATAGTGCAGTGGTACCATCATGGCTCAGACCTCCTGGGTTTAAATAATCCTCCCACCTCAGCCTCCCAAGTAGCTGGAACCATAGGCATGCGACACCATGCCCAGCTAATTTTTTAAATTTTTTGTAGAGATGAGGTCTCACTCTATTGGCCAGGCTGATGCTGCAAATTTTCAAACAAGCCGGCCCTTAGCAATCTTGTTCTAAACAATGTTTATCTCATCTAAGCCTCAAGAAGGGAAAGTGATTCAGTATATTTTTCTAAGAATTTTGATTACATTCATTCCTGAGAAAACACTGAACCTGACTTACTAGTAAATTCCATGGCTGCATTCATGTAATTTACTATGCAGTTAACATAACCATTCCAAAACTTCGTCTCTGAAATCAGTGTGGGTGGATCTCATTCCAGTGAAACAATATTCCTTCTAAGCTGTTGACGTAGCAAAATGGTTCTGACATTGTAGGGGGTGTGGGAGCAGAGGGTGATAAGGGAGAGCAAATGATCACTGTTGGATTTTGTAAGTTCTCATTGTAACTGGCAGGCATGAATGCTCCAAGTTTTATGGCAGGAAAAATAATAAAAATCTTGTCTGGCTACTGACCTTAGAACTTAAATTATTTTATGCTTTGGGAACATGTTAGGGAGACAGCCTGTGGCAGATATGACTGAAAAAGGAAAAAAAGGATGTGTTAGTGGGTGTGGAGTGACCTATGGGAGAAGGGGAGAGATGGGTAATGGAGGGTGTGTGGGCAGGGAATTTGGAGTGTTTTAAAGGACTCAAAGCTATCTCAAGTCACAGTTGGCTTCTCAAGATTCAAGTAAGCACAGTAATTTTCCAGGGAGTTTAATCTAGACTTTATTCCACAGAAAGAGAACATCTACTACATTCATTATTTTTCAATTTAATAGACACTATCAATAGTCCTTTAAAGTGACTATACCAATGGATACTCTTGCTAGCCAGGAACATGTCTTTCTTCTTTGATGTTATTTTTCTAAATAGAGTAATGAATATTTAGGAAATATATGTTATATATATATTTATATAAATATGTTATATGTTATATATATTATATATTTCTTAAATTGGCTGGTTGATACATTGGTGTATATATTACATTGGTATATCTATCTATATATATATATAGATATATATACACCTATGTATCTATATATATACACACCTATGTGTGTGTATATATATCTATATACATACCATATGGTGTGTATATAGATACATATATACACATACACACCGATGTGTATATATATATGTATACACACCAATGTATCGACCAGCCAATTTAAGAACTAAAACATCACCCCTCAGAGTTAACAACTATCCTGATTTTCTCTTTAACATTCTTTTGCTTAAAAAAATGATTTTCTCCATATATCTTTAAAATGTTTTGCCTCTTTTTGTACCTATGAAAATGTAATGATAAAGTATTTCTTTGGTTACTTGCTTGTTTTTGAGTTTCATCAAAACATGATGCATGTGGCTGCAGGGTCTGTTTTCCCCCCACTGTTCTAGAGAATTCCACTGTATAACTATCACTCAACTAATATTTCTGCTTTATACTTGGTTGATACTTAAGTAGTACTCCTAATGTTCTTATATTATGTTGAACTATATGAAATTGATGATAACTGAAGAATGTCAACCCTATGACAAATAGTTTCATATGGTTCAACCTAATACTTATCTTCTATGTACAGGTGTAATAGTTTACATACATATACCTTTAAAATTTAAAAATGAAGATCTATTATCTATAATCATGGGCAAGTTGAGTAATGGCTCTTGGTTTCAGTTTCCTCATCGGTAAAACAAGGGACTTTGACTCAATGATTCTAAAGTTTAATCATAACCTGTCTTTGTTCTCAGAATTACTTACAATACTGGTATCTCATGAATGTTCTTGATGGACCAGTTCTGAACTCACAGGCACTGATAGACAGGAGACATTTTAATGAAACCGATGCCTATATATTAAGTGACACTGACCAAAGTTATGTAATTGCTAAAACCAGGACCAAGTAACCCAATTCCCAGCCAGCATTCTATTTCAGAAACTATATAAAGTATAAGAAAAGCCAGGTGAAATATATCATTAAAGTTTAGATAAGGATGAAATGCTTTAAATAATTTGTCAACTATTTGCCTATAGAGAATAATAATATAAATTTAAATAATAATCTAAATTGTCCAGTTTATTACATGGAAGAGAAATCTGGTTTTAAGAAAGTGATTGCATAGAATTACATTTTCAATCACTGCAAGATATTTCCAGTTGGGGGGTGTCTCACCATCTACTCTATTGCAATAGTTTAGATTATTGTTCATTCAGTATTCAGTCCCTTACCCTTCCCAGTGTGGGCAAAGGTACTTCACCTGATGTTGGGCTGGAAGTAATTTGGTGGCTCAATAGGATGTCAGCAGAGGTGATATGAAGCTATATTTCAAAAATGCTTATGTAGTTGGGTTTACTCATTTGAGTTTCTGTAATTCCCTGAGGAACTGCTGTCCCTTCAGCCTCAGGACCCAAATGAAGACATGTGGAGCAGACGTGACCTCATCCCACACAAACGAGCCAAACCCAGGTGGACATGTAGCCTGAAGCAGATACATAGGTGAGCCCCATCTAGATCAGTCAACCTTCAGCTGACCTAGAAACCTAAGCAAGAATATATGATATATTGGCCTGTTCTTACTAGCAGAGGAATAACTGAATGAAATATCTTTATGTCTGTTACAATTTATTCTCCAAACACTGACCAGTAGAGACCAGGTTACATCACTCCCTGGCTTAATCCTCCCTGTCCCCTCTCATGGTTTTTCATTTCAACTTATGAAAAAACCTTAATCCTCACTAACTTTGAACTTTTAAAGCTTCCTTCCCATATTCTGAAACTGGCTTGTTTCTGACATCATATTGCATTACTCTCCCTCTCACCCCTCTCTGAAATACTAATTTTCTTTTCTTCATTCAACAAATATGTATTATGTACTACCTGTGTCACCCCAGGCAACCTGGCTGACGGCAGTTTCTTCAGCCCCTCAGGGTTTCTGCTTTTAGACTTAGCAGAAAGGCTCTTCTGTTTAATCCTGTTTGAAAAAATATATTCCTTGATGCTGCTTTTACTACTTGCCATGGCACTCTGAACATATGTATAGTTGTTCGTTTATCCTATCTGCCCTCATTGGAATATAACGGTCTCCAGCTGTCTAACCTCATTCTGTACTATTGCCTTTTCTTCTGTTCCTTTTATAGAATAAGTCCCTTCTCACCTTAAGCTTTTATAAAAGCAGCCTTCTTGACCCTTTTACAGAGTGCTGGCTGGTACAGCTAGCTTCTCCTCATTTAAGTGAGAGGACTGAGCAACTCAGAGAGGCTTTTCCTGCCTTCCCAATCTCAAGGAACCTCCTAGTCACTTTCCATCACATCACCCTATTTAATGTTCCCAATCAAATAGACTGCCTCATACTTCATTACAGCTTTATAACAACCTTCATACATGTTTGAATTTGTTTCTTTTAAAGATAATTTTGGATTAGAGACTCTTTTGAAGCATCTATAGCTTTAAAAGTCAAAACCAATGCCAGGTGGGTGGCTCGTGCCTGTAAACCCAGCACTTTGGGGGGCCAAGGTGGGAGGATCACTTGAGGTCAGGAGTTCAAGACCAGTCTGGTCAACACAGCGAAACCCCTTCTCTATTAAAAATACAAAAATTAGCTGGGCATCGTGATGCATGTCTGTAGTCCCAGCTACTCAGGAGGGTGAGGCAGGAGAATCGCCTGAACCCGGGAAGTGGAGGTTGGAGTGAGCCAAGATTGCACCACTGTACCGCCATCCTGGGCGATGGAGTGGGACTCCACGTCAAAAAAAAAAAAAAAAATTCAAAATCAAAGTATGAAATTAACTTTTTCTTTGTGGAAGTTCAACTGGAATGCTCTATCTTCAGATCTCATGACAGACCCCTCGTCATTTGGGTCTCAGCTTTAATATCACTTTCTTAAGGGTTTTTCATTGAATACCCAATCTAAACCTCCCTACACTCTCAATACATTACTGCTATTATAATGACCTTTTAAATTACTTTGTTTCTTGCATAGTAGCTGCCATCTGAACAGTAAGGTGCATGAGAGTAAAACCTAGTCCTAGCGTCTAGGTCCAGACTGTCTTGCAAATCCCTCTATCCTAGCACCTATCCTAGTGTTTGGCATATGGGAGTCTTGTTATTTGAATGAACAAGTGAAAAATTAAATCTGTTTACCCCACGTCAAGCTCTGAGTGGTGTACTTCATTTGTAATCCCACCTGCACCTACTCTTCACAACTGTAAACTGGAGGGATGAGCCCCAATTTATAGACAGGCTCAAGGCTCAAGGAAGCTAAGTTACAGCTCAGACTGTCTGATGCCAAAACCTAATCTCTTCCCACTACTAATAAAGTGCATTCAGATTTCTAAGTCTTTCCCCACCAGCTTTCCACACAATTAATTACCATGGTTAATCCAGGTGTTAAGCCTGGAGCTTAAATGTTTCTTGTTGGAACTAAATGCATGAGCAAAGCAGGAAAAAGACCCGGAAGCTCAAACAAGTGGGTATAATTCATACACCCTCCTTACTTACAGATCCTTGGGTAAACAAAGGTGGGTGTGTTAGTAACCGTCTGATTTACTGGTTTAGAAAACATTTAGAAAAAGGGCACACAACCTGACTCTCTAGGAAATAATTCTAGATTCCGCTGCCTTAAAAAAATTTTTTTTAAAAATAGTTTGTGATTTGTTAAGGTACTTTCTTTTTTTGAGAAAAAAGAGACAAGGAAATAATTCTAGATCCAGCTGCCTTTAAAATTTTTTTTAATAGTTTGTGAGTTTTTCAGGCACTTTTGCTCTTTTTGAGAAAAAAAGACTAGAAAATAATTCTAGCTCCAGCTGCCTTACATTTTAAAAAAATAGTTTATTACTTGTTCAGGCATTTCTCTCTCTCTCTCTCTCTCTCTTTTTTTTTTTTTTTGTGTCCCTTCTCTTCCTTGTTGGCATAGTTTTGACTAACTCACTTGTCAAAAAGGAATAACCTGGAAGAGCCTCTGCCCATCAAGGAATAAGCTGGAAGAGCCAAGAGGAGAGGAAACCAGGGAAGTTGCGAGCACCTTTGCAAAGATGTGTACATATATACATATCTATATATGTAAGGGAACTATTTATATGTATGTGTGTCTTACCATGCCGTCCACTGCCTCCCTTTCTCTTTACTGCATTACCAGGTAAATAAAAAAGCTGCTTTCCCCTTGGCACGGTGAAAACCATTATTTCAATGGATCGACACCCTTCTGGTCGCTCCCCCTACCCGCTTCCCTTCTTTCATCGGGGCCTTCTGTATGGAGAATGAGAAAGCCCACCAGTGTTGTAAACTGGTGAGCTTTCTGCAGTTCACAGCTGAAGGGCAAGGAGCCTCGCGCAGACATTTCACAGGGCTCAGGCCGGAGCTGAGATCCCATCCCAGGATGCAGTGAGAAGAGCCTGCCAAGGAGTGCTCCCGGTTCCTGATTTCCTCTCCGGTAGGGCTCTCGCCTTAAGCAGCCAAAGAGTGACTGCACAGCGAGTCAGACTGGCTCGTGGGGTTGGAGACGATGTCACCTCCAACGGAGAGGAGAGACGTGGACGGCCCAGACTTGCCCAGCACCAACCCCCGCGGCCCTGGGCGCTCGACCTCTCGCGGGGCTCCATCCCCCGGAGCCAGCGCAGGACGCGGCACAGGACTCCCACGTCCCCCCACCCCCGAGGCAGACACGCCCTCTGCCCACCAGGTGACTTCGGCCGCGGACTCTGGAAGTGAGCCTGAGTCAGAGGAAACGTCGTTCTCAGAGGGACTCGGGATTCTTCCCACAGCATTCCGAGTTTCCCCGTCCCACACGCAGCACGCTGTACTTTACAAGGGTCGGCCTAGCGAATCGAGTGGGAGTCCCATCTGCTTTACTCCCCTCAGGCTTTCCAGCACAGCCCGAATCGCCTAGGCACCCGTAAATGAGAGTTGAACGCCCGGTTGGACCGCCGGCTGACTGAATGAATGACTGAGTGAACGACTACGTAGAGTCGGTACATGCCCCCTTTCCAGTCTCCGCAAGTCTCCGGGGCCCGCCCACCCGGTCTCTTCGCCACCCAGATGCCAGGTCCCACGGCTCAGGGCAGACACAAACCTTCTCGGCAGGGCTCTCCGGGAGGCAGCCTCACCTGTGCCCCCATGGCCCCGGGACGGGGGTTCCCGAACGCGGGCGCTGGCTCCTCACCTGGGCCTCTCCTCCCTGCGGACCCGCGGCGGGTGGGGCTGCGGGGTGCGGGAAGGGGCGCCCTGACCCCGCCCCCGGGGCAGCCTCTGCCAATGGCTTTGGCCAGGCGGGGCCTCAGCGCCGGGCGCGGCCCAGGGGTTGTTAGAAACTTTCAGAGCTCCCGCGGGCCTGGGGGCGGCCCGGGATAACTCGTGTTTCTGGCCGGAGTGGAGCAGCTGCCCCTCCGCGCGGCTGCTGGAGGAACCAGAGAAACACAGACATGCCTCACAGGCCAACGGCGTCTCTCGGAGCGTGGAGCCCGCCAAGGCAACTCCGGGAATTGAGTGGAGTGGAGGCTGCGCTGAGGCCCCCTTCTGGCTCCTCTCGGGTCAAAAACTCTCCCGCGCTAGATTCTCAGAGCCCTGCTGCTTTGGGAAGCCTTCAGATGTTAGTTGCTTCGCGCGGAAGCTGCTGACCGCTGGGGTTCTGCGCCGATTGCTAGACGCGTTTATTTTGGAGGCTGCAGAGCAGACTTTGCCCTACTGTGCTGTTATCAGCTTCTGTCGCTGTCCGTCTACGCCCCCTACATCCACTCCGCATTCCGTCTCCAATCAGCAAGCAGCTCCTCCTACCCTGCCCAATTATCTGGGTCATAGAGATATCTGAAATAAACCTTTAAGAGAAAAGCAATCCGTAATCTGGAAAGACCTATTCCCGCAAATTATTAATAACTAATATTTATGATATCCTTGCTATATCACACGTATGCAGGCACATTATGTCTTAATTAAATCTCACAACAGTCTATTACCGCTCAGTTTATAGTTATGGGATAAGAGACAAAGAATGAGGTTAAGTAACCTAACCAAGGTTGGAAGACTCGATAGTAAGTATTTATGCAACAGGGATTGGTCAGGGCTGGGGGAGGTGGCTCACGCCTGCAATCACAGCACTTTGGGAGGCCGAGACTAGTGGCTCGCTTGAGTCCAGGAGTTCGAGACTAGCCTGGGCATCATGGTGAAACTCTGTCTCTACAAAAATTAGCCAGGTGTGGTGGTGCGCTGCTGTAGTCCCAGCTACTTGAGAGGCTGAGGTGGGAGGACGGATGGCTTGAGCCCAGTAGGTGGAGGCTACAGTGAGACATGATCACACCACTGTACTCCAGTCGGGGCAGCAGAGTGTGACCATGTCTCAAGAAAAAAAAAAAAGGCAGTGGCGGGGTCGGGGGACAATTCGGGCTCAAACTCTCACCAGGGAGAACTAGGGTACCTTTGTGTTCTGGCATTTTAACGCTAAGGAAAATACCCTCACATACTCAGGTAGCCTTTGTTCTAGGTAGGCATGAACAGTGCTATTAATTTTATTACCTAAGAGTTTCATAGAAGAGGCCCCAATCTTGCTTTTCTTGTTCTTAGACTGATGAGAGAAGAGGTAAGTACAAATTAGTCAACATACCGATCCAAGGCACACACTTGTAATACATGTGGATGACTTTGCAGAGAAGGAACACCATGGAGAGTGGAACAGGTGAAAGTGAAAGGGAGGCAGATTTATGTCAATTTCCCATAACAAGGCTTAAACCTTAGACTTCTACTTAAACGTTTTCTATGGATTTCCTGCTTAAAATTTTGTCATTATCAAAGATTGGTAATAATAGTAAATGTGATCTAAGTTGCTTATATTTTATTTAACAAACACTTGTATAGCATGTGGCAAGCACTTTTCTAAGATCTTTATAAATATTTGCTTTGTATATCTTCATGAAAATCCTGCAAGGTAGATACTATTACCCCCACTTTACAGCTGAGGAAATGGAGGCACTCAGAGATTAAGTAACTGGACTATGCACACAGAGCCAGTAAGTGTGGAACTGAGATGCCAATCAAGAAAGTCAGGCTCCAAGTATGTGTTCTTAACCGATTTGGTAATTGGACATTAAAAAACAAAAAACAGACTTTAAAAAGTGTATCTTATTGAATTCCAGTTGCATATTAAGGCCTATTTTAGGTAAGAGGCATTTTGTTGTAGTTCTTGCTTTACAATTCTGAAAATAGAAACATTTGGAAAAAAATATTTAAACTCATTTAAGATCACTGTTTTTCCAGTTTAAATGTTGTCTAGCAGAAATTTATAATGTATTTTCCTTTACTGACAATTTCTAGATGACTTTGGAGATTACAGTTATAGTACCACAGACTATCTTGAGTGTCATAAATTTGGGGGATATTTATTCCCCCCAAAAAGAATGTTGTTTGTTTAACTAAAAGAAGAGCATTAAAAAAAATCTCCAACTAGCCCATTCTTTGATTCTAGGAAAATTCCTCTTCTGACTCAAAAATTAGAATGAGATTCTAATGAATCTAATTGAATGAAAGCCTCTAAATGCCAGCTTCTGTTTTATTGGTCTTTGTGCTAGGACACTTAGACCCAGGGGTGATGGTCAAAATAAATAACAATCAGAAGGGCCTTAGAACCTCAAGGCACAAGGCCACAAGTCTTTTGAGCTTGGGTAGGTCTGGGAGGGTTCCTGCAGTGTAAAGGTTAACCCCTCAGTTGCTACATTGTGGGGAGGTCTGTGGTTTCTGGGGCAATGGATAAGACGACTAGACAAGAGGGGTGGTAGCTGGGAGGTTAAAACCACCTTTGCAAAAATCATAGCACTGAAAAAATTTTAACAGTAAGCTGAGCTGATTCATCCTCCATCTTGCCTTTCTCTTACTTATTCCTGGGTTATTGGGCTGTGAAAGGAAAATAAATCTTGGAGGCCCCAAATCACTAAGCTAAAGGGAAGAGTGAAGCTAGGAGCTTCTTAGGACCAACCTGCCTCCCATTCTATTCAAAGTCACCCCTCTGTTCACTGAGATAAATGCATATCTGATTGCCTCTTTGGAGTGG